AGAGACGAGGTTTCACCATGTTGACCAGGATGGTCTCGATCTCTTGACCTCGTGATCCACCCGCCTTGGCCTCCCAAAGTGCTGGGATTACAGGCTTGAGCCACCGCGCCCGGCCAACCTGTATCTTTCTTTTGTAGTTCTTATTCCAGTTGCAATTTTATATTTGTATATGCAGTTCTGTTATGTCTAACTGTCTTAGCAGAGCGTAAATTCCATGAGCATAGAGACCATACTTGTTTTTACTCACCAAACCCATGTCTAGCAGAGGGCTTGGTACATAACTATTAAGCAAACAAGTATTTCTAAGTAAGGATACAGAACAGTAAAATGCAAGAGCATTAGTGAGATGGGCTCTCCACACAACAGATAAAACCAACTGAACCTACAAATACAAAACTAGTTACCATATAGGGTACCTACTATGTAACACGTGTTGTCTCATTTAATTCTCACAGCAATCCTGCAAGGTAGGTATTTTGCTTGAAAGACATGAAAACTAAGGCACAGAGAGATAAAATGACTTGTTTAAAGTCACACAACTAGTAAGTGACTGAGTTGACATCAGAACCCAAATCTGTTAAATGACCTTCACTACTTTTATTCACACACCATTTTCTATTCACCCTTCCTCCAAACATCCTCCATTATACTCCAATAAACCGCCCTCCAACTAGAGTCAACAAAAGCCTCCATTCACACAGTACTCAGAGGTTCTCTCACTGGCAGTACAAATGCATTTATGTCTTGAAATTTGCCTCTAAAGGCTTCCAATTTTTACAATGGTGATGCTATCTGTGTATAAATTGGTGCCACGAGTAAGATAAATACAGAGTTCCCAAGGAGATACACTGCTCACTAGTTTGGGAAATTGAGAATTTTGAACATTTTTATGCAATATTAACAATAAATGTATTATTTCTTTAACAAACTATATGACTATATATACATACATACATGTACACAAATGTAACACACAGAGATAAATCTCTTTCAATTATGACGGTTAAAATTCTAAGCCCTGATTCACATTTTAATAGGTCTACTCATTTTGAAACAAAATGACACTTACTTTAAAAATACAAAAACACAGAAATGCACAAAGTAAAACAAGGCTCAAATTCCACCATCCAGCATATTTTTCACGGATTTCATATTTCTCTATGCATATACTTTTGCATAAATTATATTATACTGTGTATGCTGTTCTATAAGCCTGACTTCTTCCTACTCCAGAAGTCACTGTAGGCATCTTTCTTCTTTTCATTGCATGTACACCTGACTAAGGCCACATGCAATAACTAGGCATCTTGTCCTTAAAACGCCTCTTATAATATTCTAGCTTAAAGAGCTTTATAATTCTTTTTCATAATGAACATAACTTATTAGATCTAAGAATACTGACATGAAACATAGGAAAGCTTTTCCTTAAAACCCAAACTCTTGCAACACAGGGCTGAATTAACCTTCATTCCAGATGCTTTCTTCTTTGATACTTGCCGGATTAAAAAAAAAAAAAATAGGACAGTCTAGCCAGGTGCGGTGGCTCACGCCTGTAATCCCAACACTTTGGGAGGCCAAGGCAGGTGGATCACGAGAGGTCAGGAGATTGAGACCATCCTGGCCAACATGGTGAAACCCTGTCTCTATTAAAAATACAAAAATTAGCTGGGCGTGGTGGTGCATGCCTGTAATTCCAGCTACTTGGGAGGTTGAGGCAGGGGAATCGCTTGAACCCGGGAGGTGGAGGTTGCAGTGAGCTGAGATCGTGCCACTGCACTCCAGCCTGGGGAACAGAGCGAGACTCAGTCAAAAACAAACAAACAAAAAAAAAAACGTCTAAAAAAGGGTCAGCAAACTACGGCCCACAATCTCTTTTTGTGAAAAAAATTTTTTTGTTGTTGTTGTTGCTTTTTTAGACGGAGTGTCTCTCTGTCACTCAGGCTGGAGTGCAGTGGCACGATCTCAGCTCACTGTGAACTCCGCCTCCTGGGTTCAAGCAATTCTCTGCCTCAGCCTCCAGAGTAGCCGGGATTATAGGCGCCTGCCACCATGCCCAGCTAATTTTTGTATTTTTAGTAGAGATGGGGTTTCACCATCTTGGCCAGGCTGGTCTTCAACTCTTGACCTCATGATCTACCCGCCTTGGCCTCCCAAAGTGTTAGGATTACAAGTGTGGGCCACTGCGCCCGACCATGAATAAAGTTTTAATGGAACAAAGCCATGTCCATCTGGTTACATATTCTCTATGGCTGCTTTTGCACTCTAACAGAGTTGTATAACAGAGTAGTTGTAACAATATAGCTTGAAAAGCCTAAAATATTAACTAATTGGCTCCTTCTCCTCAGAAGTTTACTGATTCATGATCTGAAAGATAATCTGCTCAAAGATATAATGAATCTAAACAAGGATCAAAGTCTCTATGTTATCAAGTCATACCACTCTCACAGAACTATAGACGTAAGTGCATCCATTTTTATGGTTTTAGTTCTCGTAAATAAAGTGAATTGGGCATAAACAACTTACTTCATGTACTTTGTTCCAATTTTCTGTCTCTAATTTGTGTTGATTTTGTTTAAGTTGGTTTAAACTTGGCTTAATAAGAGAATTCCCTACTGCTTCCTTTGTCCAGTCATCCACCAGCTTGTGTAAGTCGTCTGTGAACATCCCTTTTTTACTGGCTGGGGACTGTTGGCACGATGCTGTATTACTCTCCACACACACTGGATCTAAGAGAATCAACAAAACAAAAAAAGGAAACCATGAAAAGGAATTAAAATTCATAATCAGGTAACTCTTCTTTGGCCAACAATGCAGTTAACAGAACCACACATGGGGTGTACATCAGGGTGACCAGACACTCTAGTTTATCTGCGACATCCTGGTTTAAAGCTGTTGTCCTGGAGTAATTGCTAACAGTACTCTCTTTCACTCTCAAAAGTTTCCTCTTGGCCGGGCGCGGTGGCTCACGCCTGTAATCCCAGCACTTTGGGAGGCCGAGGCGGGTGGATCACGAGGTCAAGAAATCGAGACCATCCTGGTCAACACGGTGAAACCCCGTC